CACCGGAGGTGTTCCCAAAACGATGACGTCATCGCAGCATCTCGTTCCCTATTCAGGGAACTAGGGTTACATATGTAACCGAGATGGTTTCACAAACCAAAACAGAGACCGACATTCCGGCCCGGAACGCACATTTTCAAAGGAGAATAACTGACTGTAGCATTGTTTTTCAGATAAACGAGTATGTTAGCTTAGCATGTTTCTTAAATATCTGCAAACATATTATGGTATTTTTATGCTTTAGTAGAGTCAAAACTTACATACAGCACCTTTAATTACTCTTGAGTCGATTCACTTCAAAGACTTGTTCAAACAAGTTGGCAAAATGGTCTGAATAGGTTCGTGAATCAGTTTGAATTATTTCTTCAGTTCCTTGAACGCACTGAATCATCTGAAGCAGTTTCGAACTCGTACATTTTCTAAATGTTGTTTATGTTCAGATGTTCAGTAACGGTCATGTTCCCTTTAGATGCATTCGAGCACAAAACTCTGCAGGTTTACTTTTGATATTGTCTAATTATCCAAATGTAGCTGTGTATATTATTATACAAAGCAAATGACATGAAATGATATTGGGGCTACAGAAGAAATGCTAGGAACAATGATGGTCTCTTCTGTGTTTGTTGCAAAAACAATCTAATTATGACTTTAATATATTCATTTAAATAATCTATTATTAAATAATAACATGTTATTGTATTATATATATATATATATATATACATATACATACACAAACACACACACACATTACTTCAATCTGTAACTGAAATGTCACTGTCACTTTAGATCAATTTAATGTGTCATTCCTGAATGAAATATTAATTCAAAATATTCAAAATTCAAAGGGAGTATCCTGACAGTTTAGCACAAAAAAATTAATTAAAGTTTGTTATCCTGTCACTATGGTTACAGACATTACACAAGGCCACTGAAAGTTATAAAAGGGGACTGACTCCAAATACATGTATGCACAGGCTGATTTGAGTCACATCTGTTAGTAAACAAGCTTGTAAATATCAAACACTGACGGTGTGAATGTAGCCATTCTGTTAGAAGAAAAGTGGATCAAACACTTTCCTCTGAAGAGTTTTCAAAAAATTATAAGAAATCAAGGTCAGATTAAACGAATGTGCTTCACTAGTGTGGAAAGTTTAGTTTTTTTAAATAACAATTCTCTGATCCAGAACTATCATGGAACGTTTCAATCTGGTACCTGAACTATGTAAAAAAACAAATCAAAACCTTGTGTGGAGACTCCTGTTATGTCTAGAAAAGCTGTGCTATACAAACATCACATCGGTCACATGTTCACACAGCACGATATGGGGCATTTTTTTCTGCACATTTCTAAACCGTTCTGTTGATCTACATTATATTATCACTATTTAGCGCAAATAAAGCAGCAAACAAGAACTCATTGGAGTTTCTCTCTCTGTCTGGAAAGCCTTTTATTATGAGCTAACAATCATGCAGCGTAGACTCAAGCTAAGCTCAGGATGCTTTGCATTGCAGATTTTTGCATGGCTGGAATTTCCTCTCATGCCGGGAACATGGTGACTTCCAGCCTGTGAAAAGCGATAACACGTTCTTTATGAAGTTCATATTTCCTCTCCGAGTCGTGTGAAGTCAAACAGAGACCAAGACTCTGGGTTCAGACCTATCAACATCATGCCAAAACATCATGCTGTCAAACAGCAAAAAGTTACAGCACAGGTATTTTTCTAAAACCACAGACAAAGGCAAATCTTGAAGTATGTGTTTCAACAATCCCTGGAGCAGATCTTACGAGAAAACATGCCAATAATGACATTAAGTGGGAAGAAACTGAATGTGAGACATGAAGCCTGTCCTTTGTTTGGAAACATTTTCCTGGACTCACAGAATACAAGCCTGTAGGAGCAATTGTCAAAAGGAATCAGTTGACTTTGAACGTAAATAAATATTACTATTTGTACTGTTCCCTGAAAAGGGCTCAAGATGGCATAAAATAAATGGTTATGAATAGGAGCATGAGAATAAGGGGAAAAAACCCTAATGGCCTCCCAAATCCATCAGTCGGGCACTTGAGGGCATCGTGTGTATGAACTTTATCCACGCCACACTCTGTGTGAGTCGTATTAGCTACTATCCCTCTCTGAAGCGCTCTGACTGACTGACAGAAAAACCTCTGCTGGCACATGTTGGGGAAAAATAGCAGCCTTCGGGTCATTCATCTCAACAGAAATAAAAGCATTTATGGCAGGCGAGCCGTATAAGCCAGCAAATTTGCCTCAAGTCAAGCTAAAGCAAGCATAGAAGCATGCCAGAGTCATGGGAAAGACATTTTTAATGGACCTGTAAGCACATGTTCATCTGATAAATGAATATGTACGCCAAGCTTTCTAGTAAATGCTAATATTTGCATTAAGAATGAAGTCTTAAAAATCTTCATCAATACTGAAAAAACAATGGGTATTAACCAATAAATGGCCAGAAGTAAAATTCTATATTATTTTTGCTAAATTAATTAAAAAGCAAAACACTACAAATTAAAAACAACTGTTGTGCATGTCAACATGTCATGCACAATTAAATATTCAACATCGATAAAGTAAAAAAAATGTCCAGGATTGGCAAAAACCATAAGCTACCAATAAATCATTCATCCCTAGTACTTTGATACATAATAAAGTACTGAAGTAATGATTTTTTTTAAAGAAATTAATAATTTTATATATGTACCAAGGAAACATTAAAGTAATCAAAAGTGACAATAAAAAATTATTATATGTCAAACATATGATCTTTCCTACTTTCTATTAATCAAAGAATCATGAAAAAAAATGTATCATGATTTCCACAAAAATATTAAGCAGCACAACTGTGTTCAACATTGATAGTAATAAGAAATGTTTCTCAAGCACCAAATCAGCATATTAGAATGATTTCTGAAGGATCATGTGACACTGAAGACTGGAGTAATGATGCTGAAAATTCACCTTTACCATCAAAGGAATCAATTAGATTTTAATACGTATTGAAAACAATTATTTTAAATGTATGTTATGTTTGATCAAATAAATGCAGCCTTTGTAAGCATAACTTCTTTCAAAAACATCACAAAATCTGATGACAACAAACTTTTTAACAGTAGTGTACATCATACACCAATTCAAAAATACCATGCTATTACCATGGTACATGCTAAAAAAAACAAAAAAAAAACAACAACATTGCATTGATTGTCATGTTATATCCTTTTTTTTCTTCAATTTTAATGTGTTTTTATCAGATTAACTGTGCCAGTAGATTTTTATACAACATCTTTCAACACTGATAAATGCTATGCCTGGTTTCACATGGATGAAAAAAGCAGTCAGATGTGATTGCAGCGTTTGAGCCGAGCAGAGAGTTATAAAAGATGTTTGGGTCTCGTGCAAGTACTAGAGGAACACAGATGTGCACAAGCCTTCTTCAGCCCAGTCTGTGCATGTGGGAGGACAGCCCCTGCTTACAACAGGCTCCTTTTCTTACACATGTCAGAAATAGAAAGAGAATGGAACATTATTTTTTTTAACTTAACTCCACTCTTACATATTTGTGGCTATATTAGGGCATCACTAAGCAGAGTTTTATACATAAGCAGTCAATGAAACACTACCACTGACTGTTCTCACACTCGAAACTTCTAAAGGGACACCCATCTGACACTGATCTGAAATTTCCTGTCAATATACCAAGCCAAGGCGTCGTCGTAGAATATGATGCATCATACTTAACATAACCACATAGAAGGGATGCCTGCCTGTATTCAGGGGCGTTTCATATGCTATCTATAGCCGACTGTAAAAATAAAATAAAAAATCCACACCGCTTAGGTAAATGCACAGATGTGTTCGCAAATATCATAGTGGATGAAGGAAAAATGTGTGTTTCTTTTAGCCCTTCGAGATAGTAACAGAGTTTGTTGTTACACAACAAATAAAGATGGCAGATGTAACCTGCAGGCTTACTTTGGGCTGCAAACACAAGAATCAAACAGCAAATATTTTCTTTTCAGCTAATTTGAACTATTACAAAAGACCTAACAATTCATGAAGCATCAAACATGTAATAAATGACAAACAAAAATATCAAAACATTGTATTGGCCAAAAAAATTACTACTTAAATATTTAACTATTATGATATTATTTGGATTCACAAAAGTTGTTTGAAAAAAACATACAAACCACACAATTGTCTATTTGTTATTGACTTGATTCAAAACCATATAGTTACTGATATAGCCTTTTTAACAACTTCCAGTGTGACAACTTGCCCCGGTCTCCCTGTGCCCATCCAAAAACGTACATGATGCTGCACACTACAAACTATGAAAAGTTCGTTTAAAAAGAGGAAGTCACACCAAACATATTTCTATAGACCGTACAGCTGAAAAGTAACAATTACGTTCTGTAAACTTTGTATCAGTCCAGATCACAGATGAGGTTGCGGTTAAGGAAACTCATGTAACAGCAGCTCTTGTTTTTCTGTGGCTACGTGGAATGTGTGAATCACTTCATCACAACCACAGCGGTGCCTTAAAAATACCTAGTTCTGCTCTTCAAATCACACCTTATTTTTTATTTTTATTTTTAAAGGAGTTTAAAATATACCTTGTGTTTTGTCTTAAATATAGCACAATCACTACAAACATAATTTTGTCGATGCGGGTTTCTGAGTATTACCTCATACACGTACACAAATGCTGTCTATAATCAATCCCTTAGGCAATGAAAAAAATATCACAAACTTATTTGTGAAGTGATGAGAATATAATATAGCCTACTAACATAACTACGAACAAAACTAACTTTTTTTTTTTACATTTGTGTCATCTACTTTAAACAAAAAAAAATATGTGTGCACAATTACAAGCAAGTTTCCCCACTCAGGCAAGTTTAGGAAGCCAAGTAAATTCACAAAGCACAAATATTTATCAGTTATTCTGACAAGAAGTATGCTACGATTTCTTACCGAATCTGGACCGCCGTCTAAAAGTGTGAAATATAAATCCGTGGACGTTTTTCCTTGTCTTTTAATGTCTTCACGAGATTTGCTCTTTCCGTAGTTGGTGTTCCCACCTCGCCAGCGCCATGTCGACAATTAAAGTGGGAATGTTGGACGTCACATGCAGGGAATATCCTACTACGGCGAAGGATTGCTGCTTAATATTCATAAGCCCTGTCTTCACCATTGGATGGTCACGGAGCAATCTAATTAATATTCAAACATCGTTTTTCGCCATAGGAAGGGTAATAAATTGCGTCACCGCTATTAATTAATATTCACAAGATGAGCCATCGCCATAGTAGCATTAGTAACGCATAAATGAAGTTTGTGTTTGCGTAATTTGGTCGTATTTGTACTTCACTCATAAATATGGTGAAACATGTCAGAAAAACAAAACAAAACTTTTGAGCACTTTGGAAGTGTTCGTTATAAATCAGCCACATTGTGTTGATATGCGGATATCTGTGTGAGGGTTAGGTAGGTTTAGATAAACGTATAAAAACAATTACCCAGATTAATGTATTAAAACCATAGACTGTATAAACCAGATTAAAACATTTTTGTTTCACTAATGTAGTCAAACCAACAAGTGTGTGTTGCAGTAAAGTAGAATAATGAATTTCTGTTCAGATTTCTTTATTATCCTTCCATTTTCACCAAAGCTATATCTTTATGTCATAAGCGTTCCTCTGAAGTCAGTTGCTCAGCTGTCAGTAAACAGCTGCTGGAATAAGGCATGCAAATACCAACTGCAATTTGACAAGACCAAAAGTTTTCAGATTCTCATGAGAAATGCAGAAGAATTCTGCAGAACACAATTGTACAATTGTTCATTGTAGAATACAGACAGTAGGGAACTGAAACTGAGATATCAAGCCAGAATAAAAATTTTTCTGTACATAATATGTAGCTTAATATGTTAAAAAAGATTGTATGTAAATGTATTTTACTCCAAATGAAAGCTATAACATGACACAAAAATCTGACCCATTATTTCAGTAGGCCTATTTTGTAATCAATGGGCTAATCAAACTCAAAAGAATATTGATTATCCAAATACATTACACAACTTAAGGAGGTGAGACTAATATTTAATTAATAATTGTTTTTTCAGTAAATGTTCTGTAACTCTTGTGCTTGGCAGTGAAGTATAACATCCTGAAAACAGCCTTTTAAGAACCTAGTAAAACCATTATTTACGGTAGCTATTTAGATGTACTTTGTAAATTCACGAGGTCTATATGAAAAGATACATAATCTGATAAATAAAAAGATAAATGATTTGAGGTGTTCAGAAATGATTTCAAAGAATCAATTAATCAGTATAAATATACATGTAATATGCATCTAACATCAGAAGTAGAATTAATTTGAGTGTCATCAATTGTGTCAATTTATAGGTCTATATTACAGCAATAGTTCACCCCAAAATAAAAATGAGCTGAAAATGTATTCACCCTCATCATCCAAGATGTAGATGAGTTTGTTTCTTCATCAGGAAAGATTTGGAGAAACTTAGCATTACATCACTTGCTTACCAATGGATCCTCTGCAGTGAATGATGGATTTGTTTCTTACGAACACGCAGCTTTTTGCTGCACAAGATGTTAACTGATGGACTGGAGTCATGTGGATTACTTGTGGATTATTGTGATGCTGTTTGGATTCTCTCATTCTGACGGCACCCATTCACTTCAGAGGATCCATTGGTGAATTATGAGTGATTTTCTATTTTTTTATATATATATCTGTATTGTTTTAATTTTTATTTCAGTTTTAATTGGAGTTTAGTACATCAAGATAAACTAAATAAAAAGGAGAAAAATGCTGTGTTTGGATTCTCTCATTCTGACGGCACCCATTCACTTCAGAGGATCCATTGGTGAGCAGGTAATGTAAAGCTAAATTTCTCTATGTCCTTGAAGGCCTGAGGGTGAACAAATTTTCATTTTTGTGGTGAACTATTCCTTTAATTCAAAATAATTATACTGACTAATGCATGAACTTCTCATCTTCAAGGCATATATAACAGCCCCATCACAATCAATGCTGTAACAGCCATGACCTCCTTTATGCTAAATGTAAATAGACAGTTTTATAGTACTGCATGGCCTTTGAGAGACCTCTCCATCTTCACTGTGTTTGGATCACACTCCAACATCTCTCTGATCCATTCGTCATTCAGCGCGCCTTCAATGAATTCCTCTTGACTGATCATGACTATAGAGACGGAAAGAAAAAGAATGACATAAGGAGACTGTACTTCTAGTGCAGTTTAGTGATTCAAGAGTGGTTGAAATAACTTTGGCACTTTAGATAGCAATGTAGCTTGTAGCTTGTATTTATAGCATGTAGCTTACCATTGTTATCTTTGTCCAGCCGTACAAATATCCTACTGGTGCATTCTTCAGCAGTCAGTGGATCAGGTTTGGTCAGTGATGCTGCAACGCTCATCTTGTACACAGCCTGGGTGAGAACAGGCATGAGAGAATATTCATTTGTGATTATATATTGCCCTCTAGTGGAGCAATCCAGAATCACGTAAACAAACTGCATTAGAATTCCAGAGTAAAATGCTACAATCAGTTTAGAAAAGCAAGTAATAGAGTTTTTCAACTATAGTCACTTACCTGCATGATTTCAAGCATCTCTGAGCGTGTGATGGCTCCATCTTTGTCTTTATCATAGAGTTTGAAGGACCAGCGCAGCTTCTCCACTGTCGTGCCCTCAATCAACATGCTGATAGCTGTCACATATTCTCTGAAGTCCACAACTCCATCCTGTTCAATGGCATTCATATCACACTTTTTATATCACATCACCAATCCTGATTTTGTCTTGATTTGGCTCCAGTCTTGTTTTAGTATCAATTAGACACTATTATAGTTTTTATTCAAATGTAATTATACATACATACACACACACATTTAATTTTTATTTCAGTTTTAATTGGAGTTTAGTACATCAAGATAAACTAAATAAAAAGGAGAAAAATGTTGCCTTGGCAATTAGCTGACACAAAAATAAGTTTAAGGTTTTTATATTTTATTTCTAGTAATGGATTTTTTTATGGTTTTAGTTAATTTAACTATAATAACCCTGTCTGGACTAATCTTAGGGATCAAAATCTCTAAAAATCATGTTTCAGCATAATAGCCAGATTAAATTGTACTTATTACAAAAAGAAAGTATGACAATGTATAAAGACTGTCCAATCTATAAAGACTGTGTCTGTTCCCCGAATAGTGAGGTCAAAATATAAATTTAATGCAGGATCTAGAAAAAATCTTATCGTGATTAAACCAGAAAAATGTAAAATAAATGAACAAAAACAATTTTTAAAGTTTGGGCTCCTAAACATTAGATCACTCTCACCCAAAGCAGTCATTGTAAATGAAATGATCACAGATAATAGCTTTGATGTACTCCGCTTGACTGAAACCTGGCTAAAACCAAATGATTATATTGGTCTAAATGAGTCTACTCCACCAAGCTACTGTTATAAGCATGAGCCCCGTCTATATATATATATATACTGTTTTCATTTTTGTTAACATTTTCGTACTGTAATTATGAGTGATTTTCTATTTTTTTATATATATATCTGTATTGTTTTAATTTTTATTTCAGTTTTAATTGGAGTTTAGTACATCAAGATAAACTAAATAAAAAGGAGAAAAATGTTGCCTTGGCAATTAGCTGACACAAAAATAAGTTTAAGGTTTTTATATTTTATTTCTAGTAATGGATTTTTTTATGGTTTTAGTTAATTTAACTATAATAACCCTGTCTGGACTAATCTTAGGGATCAAAATCTCTAAAAATCATGTTTCAGCATAATAGCCAGATTAAATTGTACTTATTACAAAAAGAAAGTATGACAATGTACTTTTAAGCTACTGATATTGTTGAATTATTTTCTCATCTTAAACCACTTGATAAATATTCATTGACCTTGAGGCTAGTGTAATGTCACAGCATTTGGAACATGTTTCCCACTGTTAGTATAGTGTCTTTTGTTATGCCTCCACCTTTTGCAAGTCAGCATATGTTTTGTAAAGCCAGTGTTCTGTAACTGCAGGTTTAAAACATCATATGTGTCAGGCCTCAAAGCTTGTTTGGTTTTGAGCTTTGAAATACCCCATTGTTATCTAGTGTGCGGAATATCTGCTCTGCATACTCCGCTGACTCTTTTCCCACGGTTCCATTGCAGAAGTGACATCTGAACTCATGGAGGGTGATCAGTCCACTGGGGCATTCATTCAGGAACTTCCTGCCAGGCACCAGCACAAAAGTGGACACATTTTACAAAATATTTTGATTATTTTTTTATCTCATGAGGTATTGAAACATTTATCTTAAATCACTGATAAATATTCATTGACCTTGGGGTTAGTGTTGTAATATAGATATTGTATAGATCCTGATAATTGTCCATTAAATGCGCATTACATAAAAATACACTTTTGAAATTTTATTTTTACTTTTTTTTTTTTTTTAGAGAGAATACTATTTCAGTCTTAAACATTTCATGATTAATTCAATGCGTTTATACATGTATACATTTTGATATCAAACTTTTATTGACAACCATGAACCATGTATTTAATTTCTTAACATTAGTTCTGTTAAAAAAATAATAATAAATCCATCCGTCTTTATTAATATTAAAGTATGTTGGTATGTTAATATTAATACATGTATAATATTAATTAAAAGCTACCAATACTAACACTTGATAACTATAAGACTTTGTGTTCTGTCAGTATTATAGGATGATTTCTAGAGCACGGTTACATTATGAATGCTTATTGAAAAAGACAATTGTCTTATTCACATCATTAAATTAAAAGTTCCAGCAATAAGACTACAGTAAAAGGTCAAATAAGAAAGGACTCAATTAAGATGACCTACTTATGCTGAGAGTTTATATGGTTTTACAGTCATGTTTGGCATTTTATGGTCTATAATAAAAATCTTCAGTAAGGCATGATACTTTCTTGACACGTTATGGCTATAATTACTCTCCAATAATAAAGACCCAGAATGAGGAGGTTTGTTTTGCATAAAAGCATATACCAGACGACATGTAACCATGCTTATGTATCCTATTTTTACTACCCGCTTCCCTAAAGCCTGCTGCTGTAGTCATAGTAGTCACCTAGTTAATATTTTGTAAACTTACCTGAACCATTCATAAAGCTCTGTGACGTAAGTACCACCTTTTCTGCAGGGTAAGGTTATGTATCCGTTATGTATAATGCCTGTCCCATCTTCATCAGTGCAACAAAATCAACAGTGGCAGAGATGCATATATAAGCCCAGCTTACTTCTCTCACTTAATCATTCTGACCCAGACCCTTCTACATCTGTGAAATTAAACTACAGTAATCTTCCCCCACAGGAGGCCGACATGTAGGCAAGTGACACAAATTAGTTACCTCAAAGACACATGAAATCCTCTAGCTTCTCTGGTCCCAGTCTAGGACTGTGTAATATTATATAAATTGACGGTTGCAGCTCTATATTTTCCTTTTGAAGTGAAAAATGTGTCATTTGCTTGAGAGCTGACTTGTTCTGGTGACCTAGTTAACAATTAGTATAGACAATTTTTCGCTGATATGCATAATACAATAATAAGTTTACATATTTTTAATATTAATAAAAAATATTTAAGACATTTAAATTAATATATTTAAATTAACTATTATATTTTTCTAAATTAATTTCAAAATGATTAAGCCATTTTAATTGTTCCAGTGAGCCTTCAGATATAAAAATATATCAAATGTATTTGTCTACAAATATTGAATTTCGCAGTAGAAAATTTACATTTGCATCAAAATGTATATATTTTAAGCAAGTATACAAGTTTTTTCCCCTAACACCATTCAAATAATAAATCAAATGCTCAAAAAAGCAGCTAAAACGACCCTCCAAAAATGCTTAAATGGTAAAACAAAATGTGCAAAGTCACACAAAAATGTGTAAAATCATTTTATGCTTAACTACCGTTCAAAAGTTTGGTAAGATTTTTGGGTTGGTAAGATTTTTTTAAATGCTTTTGAAAAAAAAAAAATATATATTTTATGCTCATGAAGGCTGCATTTATTTGATCAAAAACACACCAAAAAAACTGTACTATTGCACAATATTATTGCAATTTAAAATAACATTTCTATTTGAATTTATTTTAAAATGTAATTTATTCTTGTGATGGAAAACCTAAATTTTCAGCAACCATTACTCCAATCTTCAGTGTCACATGATCCTACAGAAATCATTCTAATATAATGATTTAGTGCTCAAGAAACATTTCCTATTATTATCAATGTTGAAAACGGCTGTGCCGTTCATTATTCTGTGGAAAATGTGATACATTTCTTTCAGGATTCTTTAATGAACAGAAAGTTCAACAGAACATTTATTTATAAACAGAAATTATTTGTAATTTACTTTACTGCCACTTCTGATCTATTTAACACATCCTTGGTGCACAAAAGTATTTCAAACACACACGCACCACAAAAAAAAAAACCACTGACCCCAAACCTTTGAATGGTAGTGTATGAACATTTACGGCCAAGTGTGCTAATAAAAAAACTACACTTGCAGCAGTTTAGATGATTAAAATCTTGCAATATCATTCCATTTCCCTATATTCAAATTACAATCTCCTACTTGCTACCTCCAGGAAATTAACGAGGCAATCTCAACATGTCTGAACAGTTGTACGTTGACACGTGACAGATCAACACAGATGTACAGGAAACTAATGTTGTTTATTTAAGAATCTTTTTACATGTCAGCCTGGAGAGACAGATTCTCTGCTACTAACCAGACCTGTGGACAGTAGCAGCGACGGCATCATACAAATGCTTGATAACAAACAGAGGACGATAAAACAAAAGACAAAAAAGGGGCCTGCCTGGACAAGATGCCCCGTTCCATAACAGCCTTGGTCAAAGGTTCAGACAAAGCGACGAGGATGTGCAAGCATGCAGATCTGGAGGCTCGAACCAACAGCTGCTCCCCGACTGAGATATTCACGGAAATGATGAACAGTCTTCAGGGTATCCAAACCACTTTCATCACACACTCAAGACAGACAGAAACAAAGGGAAATAGAACAATGAGCAAGTCTTTGTCTGTCTTATAAGGCAAAAACCTTCATCCAATACCCTTAGATAGCTAACAGAACAACAAAAAAGTAGTAAAGAAAAGCAAAGGGTACACAAAAAGGCATGCATGAATGAATATTACTGGAACAATATAAAATCAAGTAATTTGCAGTCTACACAGAGTGAGAGCTGAAATTAGGACAAAAGCGACATAAGAAAAGGTCTGTTTTTCTAACCTACGTACAGTACTTGATTTCTGCCAAGTGCAACTGCAGAATGACACTCCAAACAGAACATAGTCACAATAAAGGAAAAGGTCACTCAAAAAATAAACATTTGCTGAGAATGTACTCACCCACAGGCCATCTAAGATGTAGATGAGTTTATTTCTTCATCGGAAAAGATTTGGAGAAATTTGGCATTACATAATTTGCTCACCAATGGATCCTCTGAATGGGTGCCATCAAAATGAGTTGATAAAACAATACAATTATTCACAACAAAATCTACACGGCTCCAGTCCATCAATTAACATCTTGCGAAGTGAAAAGCTGCATGTTTGTAATAACGCATGTAATAATCCAATAATCCTCTATCAATAACGTTGTCTTCTTCAGTGACAGTGTCAATCTCATCTGAATCAGGAGAGAAATGTGCACAGATCAAGCACAGTTTACAGTACAAGCAAAGACAGTCCAAAAACAGTTCTTAACAAATATGTTGGTCTGTTTTACTGTGGGAGGACAACAGGAGAGGGACTTCACCGTAGGAAGCATTATTATGGGCTCACATCTTGGTCAGAAGCAAGAGTTTAAAGTTAAAACACCCTAATGATGAATTTGTTTGTCACTTCACAAGACGCCAAGTCTCGGACTGAAGTCGTGTGGATCACTTGTGGATTTTTGTGATGCTTTTATCAGCTGTTTGGACTCTCATTCTGACGACACCCATTCACTGCAAAGGATCCATTGGTGAGCAAGTGATGTAATGCTAAATTTCTCCAAATCTGTTCCGATGAAGAAACAAATTAATCTACATCTTGGATGGCCTGAGGGTGAGTAAATTAAGGAATTTTTCATTTTGGGGTAAACTATTCCTTTAAAAAAACAGTGAAGCTATGTGGGGGAGTGGGAAACAGAATCAGAAGTCTTTGTACATCTTTTAGGACCAGTCTGCAGTTATGGCACAGCGCAACGCTTGTAAATTGGGGCAAACAAAGAAGCTGTTCCCGTGCTTAAGGCTACAACTGCCCAATCAAAATCCCTAACTGGACATCTTAGGAGAATTGTGATTGGCTAACACATCTAACCACCTGTGTGACAAGCACTTACAGTTGATCCCATGAAATTTCAGTCAGGTTTAAAGAAATACCCCATTTATATTTCTAGGTAATATGTTAAGTTTGCAAAGCCAAGCGTTGGATGAACAATGGATCATGGCAAGACTTATTTTTACACTAAAAACCCTTAATGTGCACATCACCCAGCAGTAAATCATTTCAGTTGACTGGGTGGGTGGCATCCTCCCTTCAAGTAAGCTCTTGGCAGCATGTGACAGTAGACAATGATATGAACACATTTTTTAAAAGCAGCTCACACCACAGTCACAGAATTACAGAACATCTGACAGCATGCAGCTGAGCGTTAAGGGTACATATGTCTGCGGTCAATTTGCTTTGGTATAATCGGTCAGAATCGGCCGTTTCCATCACGCAAGGCCATGAGACTGCTGTGGCACATGTGCACTGTCACAATAAAGCAGTTCAATACACTGATTGTCTGTATGAAAGGTCACCAGTATGAAGGGAAGCAAAGTTTTGGAAGAAAATTTGCAAAATCAGATACAAAGCCATTCTGAAATGAGAATTCACTTAGGTATCTGCATTACAGGGGAAACAGATGATTTTTTTTTTTTTTTTTTTTTTTTTTCTCAGAATCAGTATCCCAGGGGAGTGCACATAGAATAAGATCTCAATTATACAAAATAGGGAATCATTTCAAGAAATGGCATCTGATAGCATAATTTTAACAGCCAAGGAAGGCTCTGACCAATCATCTGCCCCAAAAGAGGTGTCAAGTTTCTGAGATTTTAGCCCTTTAAAAAAAATAGGCTTAAAACTACATGGGACATTATCTTTTGATTTATCTATTCAAAGATTAATTTAACACCATTTAAAAATGGTAAAAACATGTTCTTGGGTCTCTTCTTCAGTTAAAGTAATAGTTCAGCCAAAAATGAAATTTCCAGCAAAGGTTGTTCAAAACCAGCATGACTTTCTTTCTTCCTTATGACTGGAATGCACTACACGACTTTTAAAATCAGGTTTTAAATCACCAGGCATCATACACAGAAAAAACTGGACATCATATACACTGAATGACTGAAGATTGCTCACTACCAGACTTCATAGTCATTCTGAACACAACAAACTCATGAAGAAAACTTGCCTCATTGCAATGAGAGATATGACAAATGAAAACAATGTGTTCTAAAATCAGCTCAAAATGTTCGATATCTTCCAAATGCATGGAATCATATCCTGATGCTAGAAAATCTAAATCTGTATCAAACAACACATGATTTCATGTGAATCTACGAAATCTGCAGGCTGGCTCTGACTTTCAGCAACTAGCGTAGACTCCTCGAAACTGTAAATCAGGGTAAAAATCTGGGCAAAAGTCTATTAGTAGTGTATTCCAGCCTTAAGGTAAAACGCAACACTGAAACCGAGAAAATTGAGTAAATTAAATGGGAGATCTATGAAGGGGGAGTTGGACTTGCAATATAGCACACAAATCTTATGAACTACTTCTATGGTGCTTTTTAGTCCTTACTGAAGCTTGAAAGCCCATATGGTCACCACTGACTTTCATTACATGGAAAAGAACAGAGTGAACATTCTTTTAAACATCTCCATTTGTGTGTTCCATGAAAGAGAATCATACAGGTTTGGAAAGACATGAGGGTGAGTAAATGATAAACAGACTGTTCATTTTAGGGTGCATTATATCTTCAAAAGTGACTTAATGTTGGATTTGTATTAAATACCTTCTTGAAGCAGGAAGAACGTGAAAATACATCTCCCTATTACTCTGTTGTTGTTTTACTCTATAACAAGTGATTTTGTTAGTACTTTGAAGTGGAGTAGAGATTAAATTATTCCCATAATTAAAATTATGGGATATAATTCCAAAATACAGTTTAAACAACAATCACCTACTAAATGTTTTTCACATAAGCATGTTATACCTCTTTGCACATAACTGAACAAGAAGAACTAATGAAAGAATGAAG